ATGCAGCGTAAAAGTTGGAGTATTAATCATGAAAAAGCAGAAAATAAATTATAAAAAGCAAAATAAATGCATTTATTTTATTTATTTTGAGGTTTCTCACCTTTACACAGCTGGTCCGGCTGAATCGCCATGGTGCAGCGAGAGGAAGACGAAACGTAGACCCCCCGTTTGACGCCAATGTTGTTTTATTTTTTATTTCCTTATTTTTAATTTGTTTATTTAAATGATTTAAGTTATTTTCTGATGGATTTTCTCCACATTTATTAGTGCCTCTGCTTCTCCTTGCATACACCGTCCTCTAGAGAAGAGGATCTGCAGCGCATGCAAGCAAAAGCAGAAAAGAAAAAAACATTTTCTCTTTTTTTTGCATTTTCTCTGCTGCTTCTTCGTGAGAAAATAGAAACCAGAAAAAGATATATAACCGCCAGGAAACGGCGGAACCGTCGGCAGCAGAAGAAAGGCTGAGAAAGGAGGATTCAAATGAACAGCTGGAAAGCAGGAGAAAGATGAAAAAAAATGCAAAAAAAAGTAAAAAAGTAGAAAAAAAACGACGATGCCGATGAAGTTGAATGTGCAAAGTTGAATTTTTTTTCTGAATATCACCCAGAGTAATGTGAACTAATATAACAGGTGATCATGCAATATGCAGCCACCCAGGCAAGCGGGAGAGGAGTTATGTGTATATTTATAAGTTTAACGNGGTGATCATGCAATATGCAGCCACCCAGGCAAGCGGGAGAGGAGTTATGTGTATATTTATAAGTTTAACGACAAATTTATGAATAAAATAAAATAAAAAAAGATATTTTCTGCTTTTTTTTTCGATATAATGAGCTAACAATCCACCAGGAAAGCGTTGTGTTGTGTCTGAGTGTAGTGTAGTGCCCACCAGTACAACCGGCATGAAACACCGGAAACCTCCAAATTCAAAAACAAGTTGATGGTTTAAATTTGCAAAAAGAATATTAATTTAATTTATTTAATATTTGCAAGTGGCTTTTGCTGGTCGTTGATGAGGCGCTGGTGGGAAAGCTTGGGGCTGGCTAAAGCTGAATGCAGAACAGCATATGCGCTTCTAGCTTTTCTTTCCGTCACGAACAAGGAGAATTTTCATAAATATTATATTCTTTTTCTTTATTTTATTTAGTTTTATACGTTTTTATCTCCTCGGGTTTATATAGAACTGAATAAACCGCTGTTGTAGGCTAGTACAAGACTCTGGTATCTCACCGGTTCACTGTGGGCAAAAGCTGTACAGCTAAGCTTGCTACTTAACAGTAGAAAATTCATCAAAGTTTTTAAAGAATTTTGAAATTTAATTTGTTTTCACGCATATTTCATAAAATAAATGAATACATTTGGCTCGGTCTCTCCAGTAAGCAGCCAGTGGGGCTCTTAGTATGGTGTTGCATGGATGGCTCAGCATGTTAACCCACCCACTGAGCACAGCGGCGATTCATAATATTATTTTCTTTTTAAAATTAAAATATTTAAATTCTTTTCTCAGCAGACTTTTGAAACTCGCCGCTGCATGCCGTACAAAGCGGCGTGCTGACTTGTGTTGTTTGCGTGTCTCGGTGTGTAGAAAGCTCAGTGAAATTAGTATATGTATTTCTGCTTGCACAAACACTCGTTACTGGCTGCAAACGAAGTGATTAGCACAGCTCTGCAGGGCCAGTTCATACACAACAGGGGCTCTTCTGTGTGCTTCGCTGTCAACGCGTAAGAAACTGCCATTTCTTCACACCAGCCCCAGGCCGTTATGCTTGTGTATGCACTATGCAGGGAGACAAGTGGATATGCTGCGTTGAGGGAATTCTTATACAAAGTCTTTTGAGTACAATGCAGCTCACGATGGTCTTCGGCCGAAATCGATTGCTCGTGTTGCACATCGATTCAACTGCCAAGCTTTGGCGGGCTCTGCTGCAAGAGGCGTCTCTCCTGAGTTGCAGCACTTCTTCTTTTTATTCATGATAGAAGGGGCCCCGCATGTAAACATGCCGAAGCCCTTTTTTTATGCATGCGAAAGCGCCGTAATCAACCCGCAAGCACTTGTTTGGCTTCAAGCGCCAAATTTGCACCCGCAGCTGGGTCACTCGACTTAGCTCTGACACGCTATCTGCTACTTCTGTCTCCCATAGCTTCATAAACTGTAGATAACCTCGTCTGCCGAGGTTGCTGGAGAAAAGGGGGACGCAGGAAGGGGTAAGAGGAAGCACAAGATGGGCTAGCTGCCAGAGCACTGGAACAGAATAAGCAAAAATGAAAACAAGACGGTCAGAACTGCGGCAAATACCTGCTGCTGCTTTCGATCACATGTTATTGTGGCAGGCCAAACCTGTGGCGTGTGTTACAGGGCAACCATACTTGCCCTCCTTCGGGGCATTCAACTTGATATGCTTGCTTTGCAATACCTTTCCCTGGCGTTCACTGTGTACCGAGGTTACCAGTTTCTCCGGTTGGTCTCTCTTGCAACACTGTCGCTGCCCTCTTATGCGGAAAGTTTGAAGAAATTTGGGTGGTGCTACTGAGCGTTTAAAAATAAAACATTTATGATACGGTGGGATCTCCACGCTGGAGGTAAACATAAAATTTGGGACCATGGGTTGCATTTGGCAAAGGCCTGCCAGTCCATGAGGATCAACTGAGCTGAATTAAAAGCAACTTCTGAACGCCGTTTGTCATATATCCTCGGTTACAACATCTGCGCTTTCATCCTGCTTTCCCTAGCAGGCGCAAAGTTGTTGTGTCTGGCTGATGAAGGACGGCTCTATCGATTGCCAGGTTCAACTTCGGGTCAGACATCGGGTTTCAGTAAACTATTGGAGAGCAAGAAACCATGGTATCGAGGGTTTTTCTACTCTATTAAAAGGGCATTCTGCAGAAAGAAGGAAATAAACCCACTTAAACCACAACAGTTTTCTCTAAATGTCGCATGCACTATATGCCAGCGAGCGTATCCCGCTTATTTTCCACGTGCATACAGGTCTGCTGTGAGGTAGGGTTTGCAGTGCTGCAATTGCCCCGCTTATGTATGTAGTGCTAGCAAAAGGACAGTCGTGAGTTGCAGGAGAGAAGAAACTGTCAGCATCATTGTAGCGTTGTTTGCGTGAAGCTGGTCTGGGTCTTCCCACTTACCTGCAGGCTGGCCACTGATGGTCAACGAAGTTCACAACAATTGTCTACAGTATTAGTGCAAGCAGCAGTGGGGATTGTTTGTGCATGCATCTGGGGTTGCATTGCAGCATGAGCTGGGGCTGGCTGCGTTGCAGCTCGTGGCAGGCCGCCGCATGATCACCGATCGCATGCCCCTAACCGCCGGTCCGAAGTAGCCTGGTGATTGGAGGATCTCAGCTGTTTTATGATTTTGAGTTTATTGCAGCTCGTGACGCTGCTATCGAGGACACCCGTTACAATTGTCTGTACCTTAAAAGCAGGTCTCCTCCCGTCTTGTTTCCAGGCACTCGCAAAACAGCTGAGGAGGGACTTGGGGCTGTAAGGGAGAGGAAACGCCTCTACCAAGCTGAAACGTGCAGCTTGGCCTTTCTGATGTCGTTACCCTCATGTGTACCTAAGGGCCAACGAAGTGTTGAGCAGTTGTCTACAGTGTTATTGCATGCATCGAGAGGGTGGTTGGGTAAGTATGGCCGTGGGTTTGTCTAGCAGCAGAAATACCAACAGCGAATGCTACAACTTACGTGTGGCAGCTTCCTCTACGCAGCGGTCGCAGGCGTGTATGCTGCTGCATCCAGGAGACGCAGAGATTGAAAGGGGGACCCGCTGCCTTGGGGGGATCAGTAGCTTAATATTTTTTTGACTCTGCTGCGTATCACGACGGTGCCCCCCAGAAACTGAGGCCGCGCTATCGCGCACATACTGCTACTACTGCTGCCGCTGAGCAACCCCACATGAAGGTATCCGAGCCCAGTATCGATGCATGCACGAATACCTGCACAAACACCTTAGACAATTAGTAAACTCTTCCGTGGATCTCCGTAGCCACCGTGCATGCATCCGCAGACACCCCAAACCACCTCTCACATACACCGCAGAACCATCGACTCTCGCAGCTTCCCTGGCTGCACAGATGACCCCAAGAAAGTCAACAGAATAACCAATGAATGGCGTACAAAGGACCATNCTTCCCTGGCTGCACAGATGACCCCAAGAAAGTCAACAGAATAACCAATGAATGGCGTACAAAGGACCATAATAACTTAGTTATAATGCATAACTACCAACACAGTGTATATGCAGGTGTACACACATATATTTATGTATACAGCACGAGCGTGGCAGGAGGAAGCTCTTCTTGCATGGATGGCGTCAGGCGGCGACTGCATGTTTCCGCTCTCATTTGTGCGGCTTTTTAGGGGGAAAAAAACTTATAAAGTTTTTTTTTTAAAATTAATAAATACAAATGCAAAGAGAAGATGATCTCGCTGAATGTTTGCGGGAAATGCATTACATCTGCTACTGAGCCTGGGCGGTGTTGTGTGCTGGACACGCGGTGAAGGAGGCGTATATATGTTGAGTGGAGAGTGTATTCGTGTTGGACGAAGATGTATGAATATTTATTTAATGAATAAAAAAATAATAAATTAAATATATTTATATATTAAAAAAAGATCTCAGGTGTCTGTACAGCTCACGCTAGCGGTTGGTTGGCTCTGGTGTTCTGTTCTGCACTTCGCGGGTGTAGAATGTTCTGCTTTTACTGTGTGCTAGTGGCTGTGTGTGGTGCGTCTGCGTTCAGTTATTATTTGTTTTCTTGTATATATTCAAGTTATTTTACTCTAAGAAAAAAGAAAAAATTAATTTTATTTTTTTTTCCTTCTTATCCTGTTCATGACCACCTCCGCATACACCTCACACGCAGCGTGGCGTAGCCTGGTTTCGTTTCTGTTGTTGCTGATTCAGTGAATAGACGTCGACAGGTGTTTCATATTTGTTTATTTCTTTTATTTCGNACAAGTTTCCTTCTGCTTTCCCTCACAAAAATGGCGTCGACCGCACCGCTTCCCGTCGATGAAGAACGTGAATTTCATTTAGGTATTTTAGGCAGTACAGGATTCGTAGGAAAGTAAGTTCATTAAACATCACTGACACGTTATAAATATTCAATTAAACACAAAACTATTCACCTCCATATACACCTCAGCTGCATATACACCGCAGAATTCATGCAAAATACCCGGGTGGTCAAGACCACCGCTTCTTGCATCATTTCTTCTTTTTATAAGTTGCTTAGTTTATCTTAATAAACAGTTTCTATTCATGTATGTGTTGTGGTGTATATACAGCTATCTATTTGTTGTGTTTCGTGTTGTGTGTTCCTGTACAAAACACCAGCATATATGTGTGTTTCTGCGTCGTTCTGCTTTCTCTCTGTACATTTTTTTTTTCTTTTTTCATCTATCTTTCTTCAGACTCATGGCCGCTTACCTCTGCGACAACTATGGAAAAGATAAAAGAGTAAAATTCGTGTTAGCTGCTCGCAGCGCCACCAAGCTGCAAGANGCGACAACTATGGAAAAGATAAAAGAGTAAAATTCGTGTTAGCTGCTCGCAGCGCCACCAAGCTGCAAGAACTTAAGAAAGAGCTTTCTATCAAATACGGCATCAACGAGCAAGACATACACACGGCGGTGGCGGACGTTGACGACTACAGGTCCCTGGTTGCGCTCACACAGAGGTACGCAGCAGCTACAACCACCACAAACCCTAAACCCTAAACCCTAAACCCTAATAAACCCTAATTCAAACCACCTACATACACAGGATATAGATAAGAAGATAGCTGCACAGACAGGCATGTGTGGGGCGTCCATAAAGAGAGAACAGAGAATACTAGAAGAGTTTATTGTTTTGTTTAGGGTTTAGGGTTTCCACTTTTAGTGTTTTCTAGGGTTTAGGGTTTAGGGTTTAGGGTTTAGGGTTTGTGGTTTGCAGATGCCGGGTGCTGCTGACCACTGTGGGGCCCTATCTGCTCTACGGAGAGCCCGTGGCGCGTGCATGCGTTGAGACGAGGACCCACTACTGCGACTTAACTGGGGGTAAGAACCAGAGAAAGCTGCTGCTGCTGCTGCTGCTGTTGCTGCTGCTGCTGCTGCTGCTGCTGCTGCTGCTGCTGCTGCAGTTGCTG